TCTCCACGATTGGTTTCGTGGGCCCGGAGGCCGCTCAGTCACAGCTCAACCTCATCGCCGCGGCCGACAAGGCCAAGCCGACCCATCGATTCGTACCCAGCGAGTTCGGAGTCTGGGTGTCTCCAGACTACGCATATTCCTTCTATCCCGAGGCACCTTCCCCTCTTCGTTGCCGCGGAGTCACTGACACCTAACCAGCGACACGAACGCGGCGGTGTTCGGTGCCTGGCTGGACGCAATCGCCGCTCTCAGAAAGACTGGCCTCATATACACTCGTGTCATCAACGGGTGGTTCATGGACTACTTTGGCATGCCGCACACCTCAAGCAACCTCACCACTCACACCTGGGCCATCGACATCGCGAACCGCCGCGCCGCGATCCCCGGAACAGGCAATGAGCTCATGACCCTGACCTACTCGGTAGACGTGGCCCGCTTCGTCGTCCGCATGCTCGACGACGCCGACTGGCCCGAAGTCAGCATCATCAGTGGCTCAGACACCACGTTCAACGAGATTCTGGGACTCGCGGAGAAACTCACGGGTACGTGCGGCTTTTGGGACTTTGAGGCAAAAATGCTACCATGGTCACCATGTGTCGCTGACATGGTCTATTTTCTTGCCAGGAGTCAAGTTTGACGTCGTCTATGACGGAGAAGAGAAGTTGAGAAACGGCCAGGCAACCGTCTGGTCGGCTGGCTACGGCGCAGGACCGGCGTCAATGGAGGAGACGCAGGCAATGATCGCTCTCTTCGGGTTGATGAGCGTTGAGGGCAGGATCCTGGTGCCCCAGGGTAACCGCCTGAACGGAAAGTACCCAGATATCCGCCCCATAGGCATCGAAGAGCTTCTCACCAAGGCCTGGACTGGAAAATAGGATTCGTTCTGTCTCAGGACTAGTGCTTAGGTTGAAGTACTTTGTCTGTCATCGTCGGTAGCTTTTTCGTCTCTGCCGTCCAATCCCCCTAACACAATGTCGCCTCCTTGTTTAGCGTAGTCTCTCTAGGATGAAGACGCATCTCTTGATCTCAGTTCTCGTAACCCTCAACATCTCCTGCTGCCGCTAGTACTCTTGCGCGAGGGTTGAGTCTCGATTGATGGTGACTGCATTCATTGTGACGAAATTTTTGTTCCCTGAGATCCATTTCAAGAAGTGAATCTACGTTGCTCAATCACAGCCAGACACGCTGCCACAAGTCGCTGCCTTACGCGACTGGGTCCGGAAGCCTAGTCTGCCGATCCATACAAACTGGACCTCACACACACAACTCGAGGCAATAGTAAGATGAGACAAGTAAGCCGACTAGTCTAGACCGGCATAGGGCCCGGGCCGCCCGGCTGCAGGCTGAAGTAGAGTTAAATGTTGATCCGAATCCAAAGTCCCAAAAACCACAAAATATAGTCCGACTGCCCCGCCATATGCTGTTTTGTGGATATAGCAGAGATCGACCGCCAGCCACACCCGCACGGCCATGCCGTTTAAATATCCTAGCCTCACAATCATCCTAGCCGCTCAACGTCGCTGGAAAGTCTCCGCTCGGTAATAGAAAGCGAAGGATTCTAACCGCAGTAGAGCTTAATCTTGAAGAGTATAGAGAAGTAAAGGAGCCGCAGTACTCTGCTGACAGAAATCTCACACCGCCCCATGAAGGAGCATCCGAGTTTCGTGCTCCCAGCCTTCCTAATGGTTTGAACCGACATGGTTTATAGAGTTGTCCACCTGAAAGAGTATCAAACTCAATGGTGCCGACACGTCCAGCAAAATGAAGTAAGTGTATGAATGGATACTTCAACCAAAGTCCCGTACGTCTCACGAAGATGTCTCGTGTATCGAGACAGTGCCATTTTGCTACTCAGAATGCAGCCGACGCACCCATGCTGACTTCTAGCTCGGGGCTGTGTATCAGGTCTCACGATAGTCTCTCCCAAATTGGCAAGAGAATCGTCTAAGAGGCGAGACTTGAGGTCTCTGGACCTCCTCATTGGTGGTATAGGAGTGTCCCCGCTAAGGCTTCCCTAAGTTCCTTTTCATCTTGCAAGAGGATGATCTCTATACCCACGGCTCTAGGTGCCATCATCAATGCTCTAGGAGTATTCCAGCCGCGGCTCCCTCGAGTCCCTTCCGACGTTGCAATAGGATCATCCGGAGAGCAATATCCAAGACCTTCCTAAGTCCTTTCTGATGTAAGAGAATCATCCCAATATCCTAGCCTCTAGGCATTATGTTTGGCGGTAATGGGACTGCCCTAGCCGTGGATCCCTAAGTCTCTTCCGATGTTGTTGCAATAGGATCGCCCGGATGGCAACATCCAAGGCTTTCGGTGTCGTGATTGGTTGTATAGAGGTTCCCTGGTCAAGGTTACCATGAGCCCTATCTGACGATCCTCAATCCCCCGGCAAGAGGGTACCGAAAAAGACCTTCGATGTTCAGATACACGAGATGGGCTGTTAAGCTACCTCAAGGAACAATCAAGGTGGCGAGCCAAGGTAGGACAGTGTGGATAGGCAGAGACGCGAACTTGGATACTCTGGTCCAAGATTCTAGTCTCACAATGTATTCCCATCTTGACTTTGGGAGGGGAGGAGTCGCAGGATGACACAGAGACAACGAAACTGGGCACTTTTGCTTTGAGGTCCTAGTCCCGCGAAGTATTCACCTACGGCTTGACATCTAGAGGCAGCAAAGTCGGGTACTTTGGTCGAAGTCCCAGTCCTACAATGCATCACAGTCTAGAAATTATGGGAAGAATGACGATACAGATTCAACTATAAAATCCTCCACCCATCCCAACTCCCCTTCCATCAACATCAGCTTCTCACCTCATCACAACACTCTACACTACAAACCATCTTCACAATCTTCCCAATCTACTCGCATTACCAGTCCCAAAACCCCACCCCAATCCTCAAAATGAAGTCCTCCACCGCCATGGCCATCGCCCTCCTCGGCCTCACCAACGCCGCCACCATCCGCATCTGCAAGGACCAGACCCTCGGCAACTGCGTCACCATGGACGTCGGCGGCTGCAGTACGTTCCTCGCACCCTCGGATTCACCCCTCAGACCTCTCCAGCCTTCGGGCTTCATTCCTCTCCGCCCTCAAACGCGAAGCTGACAAATGTCATTCTAAGCCAACTTCCCCGGAAACATGAACGACGTCGTCAGCTCCGTCGACACCGGCAGCGCCACCTGCACCTTCTTCACGTGAGTTGCTACCGTCTACTTTATTCCCTTCCTTCCCAGAACGGAGAAGATGAAACATTCATTTGCTCTGTATACATCAAGCAACATCGTCAAGAATATCTTCTGACACAATTTCTTCAATCTACTAGCGACGGCAGCTGCGGCGGCGCCTCCTGGACCACCAGAGGTCTCCAGAACACCGTCCCCTCCAACTTCAACGACAACCTCAGTTCCGTCCGCTGCTAGAGGGAATCACACCCTCCATGTTTTGGAAGGTTGAGGGGCCGTTTCCGACGGAGAGACACTCCACGAGACATGATGGTGACATGGTGTTTTCTTTCAGTACTCTCTTGTTATGGCCCACAGCAACGTGAGGAAATAAAGGGGGCTATCGAGAGTGATCTTGACTCGAGCATTTTGGTGCTTTCTTGGTTTCCGGAAAAGAAGCAAGCTAAATTCGATATCGAATCAGTTTAAGTTTCCTACCTTAGTACTTATTCCTCCTTCATATAGAAAATAGACTCTTTGAGTCCCCCATGTCCCCTCGCTTGGTTTATAGTCAATTGTCTCTTGTTGTTTACGCCCGTCCTTGGTAAACTTCTAACTAACTTCTGACACCAATTCGAATTCGTTCGTAACTAATCGCATTGATATTATTCCTCGTTGACAAATCAATAATCAGAGAGGGTTTACCATAGTTCAACAAACAAACCGATCTTCCACTACGAGGAGGGAAAAAACAAGGCAGATGCGGAGTAGTCCATTATTTGTTATTTCAATCCTAACTGTAGTCTTACAGCCTTGAAGTGTTCGTACACTCGAGGCCACTCCGCTTCCTCAATCACATTACTCGTGTTCTCGCCAAAAACATGTTCTCAGCTTAATAACTGCAAATCGAACTTAAGCTCTTTAGGATCTCAAATGCATTTAGGAACTTTCGAAGAACGGGAAAGGTAACCCGGCTTATACGGTAGTCGGCCAAGTAGGACCATCACAAATGATCAAGCACCAAACGCAACGTCAGATATGAACATGTCATTATTCATCTAGCGACCTATCAACGCCACACAATCCCGACAGGAACCACATCTCTCATCCGTACTTCATAACCCCTCAAAGATCAAGCCAGACTAAGGTGAACATACGACGAGACAACATGGAAATAGCTAGATCAAACCGGCCGAGCCGCGCCACCCATCCGACGAGCCGATGAGCCCACCAAACACTGTACACGCGAAGAATAAAAAAAAAAAAAAAAAAAAGGTGAAAGATAAAACGCAGTGCAACTGATTCTCCGACACCTTCCTTACTGCGTCAAGGCACGTAACATTAGAACGCCAAGCCAAAAGTTCTTTTCCCTCCCATCCCCCGCCCTCTCTATCTCCTGCGTAGTCTGGCTGGTCCCTGTCTGTCGGTACTCCGCCGCCGGTTCGACGCCCCGAAATCCCGACCAGGGGTCGCGCACGCTCTCCCCCTCTCCAACATCTGAGGGCAGACCAATGACACGCTGCCATTGCTCGATTCGTCCAACTCTGCATTCCGATTCAACGCATTTGGCCGTTGAGAGCTTCTTTCCATCCCAAAAAGACCTGGACCAGCGACTACGCCGCCTTGTTGCGGTCTTCGAACGCGGAGAAACACGCATGCGACAGGGAAACTCCATGTCCTGCAAACAACCGCATCGGGAGAAATCATGTCTTGGCGCTGAGAGGTCGACCGACATCAAGCCTCAATGATGCCGCTACTCCGTCGAAAACCGTACAAGCCATGCAGTGCAACAGCCTCAACCAAATACTTTACCATCTGGAGTCCGACCACTTCATCCGAGATTTGGGTCATGGGCAATGCGTCCCAGGGGCGTTCTGTCGCGGGGCTTCTCGACCAAATCAGCATACCCATCCAGGCTTGATCCCATTACTCTGACCATGTCGAAAATGTGCGAGCCCTTGAATGTCTCTGCCCAGAGCCTGATGACCGCTGCAGCTAGCTGTCTCAACCTTGTGCTGTCGTTCGCAGATACCTCGTTGTTGGCAGGTTGGCCGGTGGTAGGCCCACCCAGGGATGGATCGATGGGCACAGCAAATTCCGTCTCGTCCAGCATTCTCCTGACCGATTGTAGGAGATTCTTTTCTTCGGGGGTCGCAGGGGGGTCATTCGGTCCGATCGATGCGAGAGTAAGGAGCCATTTAGATAAGAGAATGGCGCATTCGAAGTTGCACACTCCAAAGAAACGGGGTTAGCTAGAACAAGCGATGTTTGAGAAGAACAGGTACTTACAGGAATGTTGAATGCTCCATTCCAGGCTCTTGGTCCTCGCAACATAGTTGACGCCGGCCTTGACCAACATGGACAAAGCATGAATGGCCTGGAACACGGCTCTATGCAATCTCAACGTACGGACAAGGAGGGGCATATTGCTCAACGACGAAGCAACTAGCATGTGATCCCTGGTCTCGAGGGATCGGTTGGGTGGGATCTCGGTGTATAGACGGATATATGCCAAGCGCAGGAGTGCGGTAGAGTTGAACGCTACCGGACCACCCGGGAACGAGTCGCTGTTGCCCACATGCCCCGCGTCGGCCGCCCTCAATTGGTGTCGGTGTTCGAAGCTCACCTGCCATATCCTCAGTGCAGCAGTGACCTCTTCCACATCCTCCGGCTTCAATCCCCTCTGTGGCCCAAACGGCGAGCTGAGTGCGAATGAAGTTTGTTTCAGCAGGTAAATGTGCTGAAGCAATGCGTGGATAAGGACATAGTTTCCGAGGGATGACATGTGCGGAGGCAAGCCCTGGGGCGAAGTCGTCAGGACTCTGGAGAAGGCGTCGTGGACGGTGATTTCGACAGAAGGATAGTTTTGTCTGTCTTCCTGCCACTGCCATGCCGATTCAGCCCTCCACAGCCTGGACGGGTAGGGCAAGAATAGGCCAAGCTCCGAAGTAAGGATAAGAGGCGGCATGTTGTACGCGATACTGCACAGGTTGAAGAAGCAATAAGCTATGAGCTTGGTGCGCGTAGCTCCCTCAAGTCGAATCCAAGTCTCCCAATCCGGTGCAACGGCCGGGCTGGACTCGGCTATCAGACCCTCTTCGCGAACGAGCATAGCAAGGTGGCTCTGAAGAGATAGAGCCTCATGCAAGATTGCTTTCGCTCCCCAAAGCCCGACTGCGAAGAGCAGCAAGACAGCCTGTGTGGTCTCAAGACGAGCTTGCGGGGTGTTTGGCGAGCTGCGGGGAAAACATTAGAGCTGAAAAGCAGAGCAAGATGGGAAATACACTTACAACGGCTCGCGATGAGTGTCCTGTGTCATCGGGCGATCCTGCTGTGCCGAGGCAAAGGTATGCCTAAATCCAGAGCTGGGAGAAGGTCGGGTCGAGTGTGGGCTGTACGCAGCGGGCGTCGGTAAAAGAGCATGTACCTCATGACTATGTCTCCTTCGAATCTGCTCGAGCGCAACAGCCTTTGCAGCATACCACAGCGCATGACCCCGGTGGCTCTCGAATCGGTACTGTGCACCAACAGCCAAGATGGCCAATAGAAGCTCCGGTGCCATCTCGGCGGGCGTCAATGTGGGTATATGCAGGAACGGGAGATACTCGTGGAAACCGCTGATGTATCCCTCAAGGAAACGAGTGAGTGTATGTCTAGACGGAAAGACAAAGTCGTTTGGAATAACGGATGAGAACTCCTCCAGTCGGTTCTTGATGACCGTGTGGTCGACGGCAGAGATACGAAGGGGTGCTCTCATTGACTCTTCGTGGCTCCTTGGACCACCTTCGATACCCTCCCGACCATCCGGCTGAACCGAAGGGAACCGTGACGGAAACTGCGATGATGGCTTGGACGGGCCACGGTGATGCATATCGCCACGGGGCCACAGGCCTCCCATCTGCTGATCAGACTCGAACGGAGGTGGCAAGTAGTGCGAAGAGGGCGCAAAGTCGTCGAGAAAAATGTGATAGTCGTCGTAAGGTGCTGCTTGGGGCTGAGGAACATATCCCGGTGCCAGCATGTTCTGATCCTCCCGTGGCCGTTCGGGATACCCCATCGACTCATCATAGGACTTGATCCTAGTATGATCGGAAGGCGGACGTCCCATCTCAGCCATCATGGGTTGCTGCATGGGGTTCACTTCGCTGGCCAGAGCCGCATCAGAAAGTAGATCGAGGTTGCAAGCAGCGGCACGGGCCGGGCCTGGCATGCGAGGATCTGGGGCCATGGTGGATGCCACGGCCGTTATTGACTCCTGGTGATACTGGGGCTGAGGTGGGCGCTGAACGCCCAGCATTTCGTGTTCGACATGGCTGTCGGAGGAAGATGGCGGATTGTGTGTGCTGGATGAAGTCTTTCTTGGCCGATTATTCTCCTTGCTGCCCTCGTTGAGGTGAACGAGCTTCTCATGGCGGACAAGGAGATCACTGATGTCCATATAAGCATATTCCTTCGTCAGAGTTGGGAGGGGGAGTCGGCCGTGTTGCAGTTGAGCATCAAGAACAGGGAAGAGGTGGAGTCGAAAGTCGGGGTCTTGGGACGGGGGAACGTCTTGGGGATAAATCAAATCAAAGCAAAGTAAAGCTGGGTGGTGGTGTGGTGTGTGTGGAAGGTGACAGCATATGGTGTCGATGTGGTGAGGTAAGTGTACTCAGGCAGGCCGCAGGATGGGTGAAATGACGAGTGGCCAGGGGCAAGGTTGATAGAACTCACCGTCGTCCGAACGTTTTCCCACAACGAGCCCAGCCGCAGGCAAAGGGCTTCTCTTTGGTGTGTGTCCTTTCGTGTCTTTGGACATGCTCCACACGCCTATAATGCAAAAGCAATGTAAGCTAGCCGAAGGTACAGCCAGAAAGCCAAAGCCAAGGCAAGGTAGGGCAATCAATCATCGAGAGAGGAGAGACGGGGGGCCTTGCAACAAGGCGGAGGGGAAGCCGACTTACCTGAAGCGCTTGCTGCAATACTTGCACGGCAACGTCTTGGGTTTTTGCTGCCGGGCCTCACCATTTTCCCCAGCTATGCCAGAGCCTCCATGAGGCTGCCCCTCTATGGATTGGAGTGGCATCATTTTGTGCAAACGCTACCCAAAGGAGCGCCAGGTAAAGGGGGAAAAGAAGGGTACCGTGTGCTCGGCTAGGTAATAGGATAGCTCAAGGACCACCGAGGTCACACAGCACGAGAAAGTGGGGGAAATGGAGGAGGTAAGGTAGGCGGAGCAAGCAGAGTTGGGCTTGAAAGGGATACTTTGCGGGGTGCGGTGTGTGTATCGATATGAAGATGATTGTTGTAGAGACAGCTTTCAGGGTCTCGCGAAGAGCAGCAACAGAGAATTGTTTTGACAACGGTCCTCTGCTAGCCCCCCGTTTTCGTCTCTTTCCATGCAAGCCTGGCGTGAGCGAGTCTCAGATGCCTCTTGGTAGGCGTAAGCGTCCACGGGCGGTGGCGGCCGGCGTTTGCAACTCGAATCAACCGGTACCGCAAAGCATGCGGGAGACGCGCGAGGGAAGTGAGGAGTTGGGATTCGGAGTGGGATGTCCCGGCTGTAGTGGTGATAGGTAGGGTGGGCAAGTTGCGAGGAAAATTGGGCGCGAGGAGGAGAAGATTTGGGGAAGAAGGGAAGTACTGGTGTCACGGCACCACGAGTGACACGACGGATACAGGCAGAGCGAGGTCGAGTATGAAGGAGATGTGTGTGCGGTGGGATGTTGCGGCAATGTGTATGGATGTTTGTGCGTTGGGCTGAGGACACAAACAAGCATGCATGCGAAGATTGAGCGTGAACAACCAAGGCGTAGTTACTCGGCTCAAACAATAACCTTGGATAAAATGGCAGCGAGGTCGAAGTGAATTGGCAGGGAGGGGGTGGGAGAGCAAAAGGCGGGGAATTGATGGATGAGGAGACTCTCGGGAGGGGAGAGCAGCAGTGAGAGAAAGAGGAGAAAGATGAGGAGAGACGCGACTAGGTCGTAGGGCGAACCAAAGTCGTAGCGAAGCCCGGCAGAAGTTGAAGAGGCAGAACGCAGGGCAGCAGCAGCGAAAGAAAGGGAAACGCTGAGCCGCGGCGTACCTTTCTCAGTAGCCGATGAGAAAGAGAGGCGCCGACGTCGACGTTAACGTGTGCAGAGACAGAAGCGCGGAAAAGAGAGGCTGGAGCTGTCTCGGTAAGCTAAGGCAGGTAGCTTGGAAGCTGAGAAACTTAAGCTTGGGATGCGGCGGAAGAGGGGAAACACGGAGATGCCGGCTGTCTGCGGCGCGCGTGCGACAAGGAGATAATGCTGAATGTTTGGATAGGTAAGGGGATATGATCGGCGCTACTACAAAGCTTTGTGGTACCGGTACTCGAGGCGGCGAGTCTGATGCATAGATGGAGATACTACGTGTATCGGGAGGGGAAATTTTGGAGGTCGAAAGATGTCGCGTGAGAGGCGGTCGGTAGAAGAGCTGGCTGGTGTGCCGGCTGTTCAAAGTTGAGGTGGTGGTAGCGACAATGGAAGGTCTGATCTAACGGAGTGCCGCGGAAGATGAATGGAGGAGGGATGCTTTCGCATGCAACATTAATGCTTGATACGTCGTGTGTACAGGACCGGCGCGTGTGCCAATGGGGGGACGATTTGGAGATGGAGCTGGTAACGTAGTTTGATGATGGCGGCCCTTTGCGTGAGGAGGAGGCGGGTAAGGTAGGTGAGGTGGTAGGTGTGAAGAAAGCGGAGGCGGAGGAGGAGGAATTGAGAAACGTGAAGCGATGAGGAGGCAGAAAGCCGCGGTGGTAATGCGTTAGGTAGGTAGAAGCAGGGAGGGAGTGTAGTGCGCCCGCGTGTCCAAAGTGTGAGTCTGAGTCTGAGAGTGTGCGCGCGTGTGTCCGTATGCGTATGCGTGTGCGTGTGCGTGTGCGAGTGTGAGTGAGGTGCCTGGCGAGTGATGGAAGTGAAGTGTATTTTGTGAGAGGTGTGATGTGAGGTTGCCCGTGAGTGAGGTTAGGTGAGGTGAGGTGAGGTGGTGGTGAGGTGGTGGCCGGATGGTGGTAATGGGTGGGAAAAGGTGGAGAGAGTGATGAGGAGAGAAAGAATTGGCTTCCGTTGAATGGGGGAAATCCAGGCAAGAATCTGGGGTCTGGGGTTGTCTCCTCTCTCTCCGCATTGGAGAAGCACCAAGGTGCCTTGCTCCTGCTTCGTGCTGCTACTGCCGCTGCCACTGCCGCACTCGTAGCGTCTATCACTGGTCGCTCTTTCCCGGTGCTCCTTCACCTTACACAGTACCTACCTTACCTGACCTACCTACCTAGGTAGCTTATTACGTACCCAAGTATCTACGTACCTACGAGCATAGGTAGGTCCATCCCACCATCCCCGACCAATGACAAGGTAGCTTACCTCAGCCAAACCCCGCTGCCCTTCCTAATCTCTCCAATCTCCAAAGGTACCTTGCTTGTCTTGCCTCCCATACCTCCGTTCGGATATCCCTAGGTTTTGATCCCGGAGCCGGCAAAGAGACCATGCATCAGTAGCAAGTAGATGGAAAAAGGTCAGAAGAAAAGGGCAAAGGGTGACAAGCGCGCAAGGTATCTGACCCGAGTATGATGTCTACCTACATCGAGAATCGAAAGGAGTCGAAGGATTCTTGGGCGAGCGAGATGATTTGGAGCAGCAGCATTGAGACTCTGAGACTCACCTCACTCTGGGTGGCCTTGGGCATCCGTAGTCAGGTATCCGTAGACTCAATTGTTAAAAAGGGGACTTTGAGGTTGACATGTGTGAAGTATCTTTTTGCGTTTGGTCACACCAACAAGAGACCTTCCTCGGATGACCTAGTCAAGTAGCGGCTGGGCCACGCTTCAACCAAGGACTGCCCTGTTCAACCACCCTAAAAGATGGTTGCATGTGGTGGGGGAAGCAGGGCGGGGAGCTTCACAGCCAGTGCCAATGGGAGCTCAGCCATGAAATCATCCCTCGTCGGCAAGGGCCATTGGAGGCCGATGATCCAGTCAAGCAATCCAGTCAAGCAGATACCTACGGATAACTCTAAGGCACTTCCGTCATCTGCTGTCGAGCGGGCTATATCTGCATCTGCACCGTGGATCCATTGGTGAGCGGGCAAGATCCCAAGACGCAAACTAAAGCAAAAAAACGAATATCGGAATCTCGTCTCATCTCAACAAGCTTCTACTCCAATCTGCTTGTTGTCGTTGCGGCTTGCTGTTGGGCTACCACGGCTGTTTCTCTTCATTCCAGACCATCACCAACTGATTGGCTCTTGTCTTCTTTGCACTCACACGTCGGTATATCTCTGCCTCTTCTGCATCTGAGTACCTAGCCAGGCTAATTGGCACACAAGCAAGCCATGCTTTTCCTGGACTCTGCGTCAACGTGTCCGTGCAAGCTGCCTTGTGCTGCACTGACGCCGGGAGGGGATCATGGGTGCTTCTCCATTAGGCGTCTGAATACACACCGGGGACACTGCTGGTCTCAAGACGCGCCAATGGCAGCTTCGCAATAGCGGCCAATCGTGACAGGGAGCCCTAGATGAGACGGCCACATCGCCAACGGACCACTCATTCGTCCTCTTTTTGGAGAAACCACACGACGCCGTCTGTCCAAGGCCAAGTAGTCCGTAGTGTATTTGAACGTGCAGAAGTCAGGCGTGCGGCGTGCCAGGAGTGCCAGGGTAGTGAGAAGAGATGATCGATCTTGTCCATTTCGAAACCCCCCCGCGCTCTCGGCCCTGATCAGCTTCACCTTCCCGCTGTTGTAGAATCGGGCGAGGCGAGACGAGGCAAAGCTCGGTTTGCTGCTTCTGGGCCGGTGCGTTCCTGTGTGGCCTAGCTCAACCCAACCCCCACCCCCGGTTGCTGTGTGTCATGAGCTTCAAAGAAATCTGAATCTGAAGCTGGGACTCCAGAGGGACGGCTACCATCCCTGCACGATGAACATTGGGGTTTGGGCAGCTACATACCCTCACCTCCCAGCAAAAGCTACCCAGCTCCATATCTCCAAATGCGGAGTCCGAGACGCGCACTGGAAAGGACGGGAGCTTGCCGGAGGGAAGAGGGGATTAGTAAAACGTAAACCTCCCGAACAAGCTCCAAAAGCTGTAGAGGCAAGATAAGTTCATAAAATAACAAATCAGCCACAGGACTGTTACATGGCGTGCGACTTGGTGGTCTAACACCGTACCACGTAGGCTCATCTGCCCGTCGAGACTAGGTAGCGAGCGACGAGAGGAGCGGGCACAAGAGTCGCAGTCGGGTGTCTCGGTGCAACTGCAACGCAAGAGCATCAAAGGTTAGAAGGGGGAGACCAGAACAGAACAGGGAAAAGATACATTGCCTCTAATGAATGATTACCCCAAGAACGACAACCCATACCTGTGGCATGCATGTCTGGCTATGATTCCGTCCATTATTAGTGTGTGCTCAGTCGATCCATCATGCTGAACCCTGTCAGACCATTCTGTGCCCTTGGGCCGCGGAAGGGTATATCCGTCAGTTTCCTCGTGCTTCTTGTCGTTCTCGTGAAATATTGTTACTCTTTTCTGAGGCACGCCCGGCAAGCATCCGGCCGATACTCCGCTGGCTCACTTGACCAGGCTCGGGCCCCCCTCTTTTTTTTTTTTCTTTCTCCTTCGTCCAGGTCTGTCTTTCTCTCGATTTCGAAAGGGGCCTTCTGGCTGGCGGGAAATTGCGACGAATTTTCGGGGACCCATTCGTATTGGAGACCCTTCCATGAACGTGACATCCCATCTCCAAGCTACCTTGCAGTTGAGAAATTTCCCGATGGCTGCAGCTTGCAGTAGCCAGAGGGAGGTCGGTGGATTGTTCCAGTTTTGTTGTGCGTGAGGTGTGGTGAAATGGCGGGAAAGGGAAAGGGTGGGTGTGGGAGGTGGGAATGGGCGAGTTCTGAGGATGGGAACCAAGCTCCAATGCCAATTGGGAGGGCATCCACCTCAATGCGGAGGAGAGGCAGGCACGACAGGTACCTAGGCAGGAAGGAGTACAGAGTACGCAGGAGTCACCTTAGGCAGCTTGCACTTCAAAGTCTCTTAACTTTCTTGCCTCAGTAATCCCAATTCATGGCAATTCATGTAAGAAGTTGCAGCGGGCAAGTGCAGCGGACGCACCTGCGCTGAGTCTGAGGTGCCTGCCTTCCCCGTTCAACTTGGCCTGGAAGGTGCAAAGTGTGGGGTAAGCGCTGGTGACAAGGTCTGTGCTCTCTACTGCGTAAGGTATGCCCCATGCTCCTGCCTCCGTGCTCTCGACGACCGCCCCACAGTCGCCGGATTGTCCTTCCCCATTTTAATGTTTCCCATCGCTCATCCGTTTTGCACAACAGCAGCTTCGACTAGAGCCATCTCATCGCCCTCTATCTTCACATCGGTGGACAAAGACTTTGTCTCCAACCTTTGTGCTTCATGCTAATACCTACTACATCTATAGGCTATCTGTACAGAGTATAATGCATAGTAACCCCGTATCCGTATGTACTCGAAACTCTCCTCCTCGACATCCCCTGCCTTGCTTCTCCTCGTCCACCCCACGTCGCTGTGCAATCCCCCGGCATTTACGACCCCCAACCAAAGGTTCCTCAACGTCCAGCGGGGGAGGAGAACCTCGGCGCCAATGTGTCAAAACCAGCTAAGCTCCATCTTCCTCTCTCGCGTCCCCTCCATTCCGAATTCGTGTCCACTCCGGCCGGGAGCTCCCCCTTTGGCCTCCTTGGGACTCTATCGCGCCTGAAGCTGCTATCCAACTTGCCGGTGGATCAAGGTTTTTCAACCAGAACTCTGCTAGAGTCTTGCATAAGCATTACCCTGTCACCTACAGCCTATCTCAAGCTCTTCCCGTTCTGATCCGGGAAGCTACATGGCTAGCCAAATCGATATTGAGATTCGAAGCGCAGGACAGCGGACCACAAACTCGCGGACGCGGAATAAAAGCCGACGTCTGAATAGGATCGCTCGAAAAAAGCTTAGGGCGGGCAAAACTCCAGAAGTCCCATCATCCATCTCTCGCAACGATTACGGATATAAACATCAAGCTGTCCAAATGGCAGAGCGCAGTGATCAAAGGTTCAAGCACGGGGCTACCTGAGACCGTGGTTCGTCTTGGCTGACCCGTTCGCTTGGACTCCCGAAATGTTTAAACACACCCGACCTGCCCGCAAGTGCCGGGAGAAGCAACCCTTACAATCGGTCCCATCACCGAAGCTTTGCGCGCTGGATGGTCCACTCCATCATGACTGTTGAGATCCCGATAAGCGGCGGGCGTTCCGTCGTAACATGGCTTTCTCCAACACCAAGGCTAGAGCTTAGATTACTCTGCAGTGATGGTTCCTCAATGTGTGGCACGTTATCAATGCTCATGGCATAGCCTAAATTTGTGCTTGTTCCGTGGAGATATATTTGTGGCGGCGGATATAGTAGTGATGTCGGGTTCCAAGCATAGGTTCTGCAGTCTTATAATTCGTGCGGTTAGCGGGTCCATGAGCTATCTTGCTATTTGGTTGGAGCAATAGGAAGATTAACTCGAATCCTGTCACTCTTGGTCGACATATTGGTGCCGTAGTGACCTTTCGACCCTATGATCTTACCCCGTAAATATGAACTGCGAGAGATTATCCGGCGCCATTCACTTATTCTGACAGCGGATATAAATCTAACAAGCCTATAGACCTCTCTCGGAATAGATTTCAAGCCCAGACCGTCATCGTATGCCGAGGCCCAAGGGCCTATCGTTGGTATATTTCGTAGATGCGCGTGAAAAGAAGGTCAGAGGCAACCGAGATCATTCCTCCTGCGTTATGCCATAAAATCATCAGCATCGTCTCCCATATTGAAAATAAAGGCCAGGGGTGCTCCCCCTCAGCCTCATTAACATGTTCGGAGCTGATGCGTCCAGGTTTGGAAGGGAAAACACAGGACTAGTGGCCCTGTCCCTCCTGAGTCCTCCCAAAAGGCCTGACCGCTGGCTTCAACTGAAAACGAACACCCGGCTATGCTTCGCCTCAAGAAGGAGGACCATTCTGAACGCTGGCAGTAAGTTCGAAGCTCAGGCATGGGCTCTCATCAGCCTTGCAGCTTATATTTGTCGATAGGTATGACTCTTCCATAATTCACAGTAGCCAGACGCAGTAGGCATCGTCAAATCTCAGGCAGCAGTAATATATCCCAGTCAGCACCAGCTCCGGCGCAATCGCGGTTAACGGAACTTCTTGTCATATGAGAAACAACCTCACGGTTTTGTTGGGCAGGTATTCGTTAGTGATACTCTGTGGCGATAGAATATAAAAGAATCATAGGTGAGTACCAACGCAGAGCCGGGGGGGGGGGGGATCTACGGAGTGTAGATTTGTCCATCAAGTGTTCGCAATGACGAATCAAACTCGGAGAACAATATCCGCAATTCGAACGAAAGCTTGGCCGTCGTCTTCTGGGCACATGCCAGTGTACGTTTCTGGTTCTGGATCGTCAAGTAGTCTTTCGTAGCCTCTTCATAACCTGCTGGCAGTTTGAGTCCTCAGGCTCGCTACTAGCACCTTATTTGCCAGTAACAAAGGGGCCGGAGGTCTAGAATGACTGGAACTTATCGGTAGAGGGTGGCCTGACGGTGTCTGTCTGATTTGAGCGGCCAACTCGTTCAAATCCTGGCGCTGATATAAGACTAGATGTCTTCTTAACCAAACCATATGGATCGAATGTGAGCCACATTTTTCGTAGACATGCGGCTAGCGATATTTGTGACGCACCATGCGAAATTGACGGCAATGGTTAATAGACAAATTGAATGTTGGTGTCATGCCCCCGGCGAGAGAGCGGCATATGTAAAGTTCTCGAGACCATATCTCGAACTCCGTAGCCAGTTGCCTCATAGTCTCAAAGGTCGAGATGGTCAGCTTGAAGAGGCTGGACACAGGAGAACCCCCTTCTCCAGGTCCAAGTCTTTCATAGCATAAATTTCAGCACAATGACAACAAATCCATGCAATGCTGAAAGCATCTCGCTCCAACTCGTAGAGCCATGGTTATCAAGGTCCCCTTCCAGCTGCAGTCTACGAGGAAAGTGAGAAGGAGGCAGGTGGAAAATGCCTTCCCGGTGTAAAGTCTTGCAGCCTCACCCGTACCTTCCCACCTACCACCTACCACCTCCCTCCTTCCCGTCTTTCGTCGAAGGAGGCTACTTATATCTCCTCAACTTCATTCCTGTCACCAGCACCCATCCGGATTGGCCGGGTAGTTTACACTCTGACGCAGAGTTGTTAAAAAAAATACTCCAATGAAGCCGTGCTGGCCTGAGGGGCGCGCGCTGTTCGAATCTGGGCAGGGGCGTGGATTATAAGGTCAGTATTCCCCCTCCATCCCTTTCTCTTTTTTCTTTTTTTTCTTTCAAAGGTCCATTTGAATGTCTCTTTCATGATATCATCCTCAGTAGAGAATTTCTTTGGTGTCCTTTTCATTTGTATCCCATGCTTTTTGTTTATTCCAGTCCAGATATGCCCACCCAATTCTTCCTTCATGCTCATTCCTCGTAGAAAACCACTCGCCCATGGCTTAGAGATCCCATAACGCAATCCAGCAGACACTCACCGTCCCTCGTCCAACGTCTTCAACATCCCCAACATCCCTCATGCCTTGCTCTCCTCCAGCAGCTCCTTCGGCCACCGCACCTCAAACCCGCTCACCGTCTTCTGAATCTCCAAATCGCCCGGGTCTCCATCAAACAGCGGCTTCTCCATCTTCTTCTCAAACACCTGCTCGACAAGCAACCCCCTCTCCCTCACGACATCGAAGAAGGCCAGGTCCTTGTGCCTCAGCCACGGCCGGTACGACGTGAAGAACACATACGCCACGCTCCCTTCCTTCCTCGCCAGCGCCTCCCAGATCGTATCAGCAAGCTTCCCGTGCTCAGAGTGCCGGAACAGCAGGTCCGCCAACACCAGCACGTCAAACTTCTTCTCTCCCCCCTCGGCCGGAGAAGCAATCTCCGCCAACAGAGGCTTCACGTCCGCGCCCCAGACATACCCCTTGGGCACCACGACCCCCTCCAGATCCCCCGCCTCATCCACATTCTTCTGCATCGTCATAACGATATCCGCGTCCGGGAAATCCGACACCACGACGCGCTTTGCGCCCAAGATGCCCGCCGTCAAACTCGGCAGGCCGGCACCGGCACCGAGCTCCAGCACCGTCTTGCCTTTGACGCGGGACGGGTCCGCCTCAAAGTAGTCTGAGACGACCCGGCTTCCGTTCCAGAGGTGGTGCGCTTCGGTGGGCGAGTAGCCGACCAGGTGCAGGGTCAGGACGCGGCCCGAGGCGAGGGTGTGGGTTTGCGAGGTGGGTGGCGGGGTGGGCGGGTAGTAGTCCTCCGGGTCGGCGAAGAGGTCGCCTGTGTCGCCGTCGGCGACGTCGCTTACTAGGCTCATTATGAAGCGTGTGTATTGTTTGCGAAGTGCGTTGGTGGTGGTGGGTGTAGTCTCAGAGCAGCGACTGAGAGGTATCTTGATACCCTGGTTGAAGAGGGGCAGGTCCAAGTGAGAGAGAGAGACCTTGTGATGAGCTGAGCGCTAGGTTGTCTCTCAGTGAGACTCCGGGAAAGAATGATGTGACGAGCTTCTCTCTGTGAGAATACTTTCACTTGCTGAGTCTAGCTTGAGCGTCAGTTACGGTCGGGACATGGTGAAGGTTGAGAGCAACTTACTTGAATGAATGCGGGGTGTAGAGGGGTCAATCGCAAATGAGTCGCAATTTTCGACGTCTTTTTTTTTTCTCTTACGACGAAGGGAAGTGGGTACAGTGTGAGACAGTCCTCCATCTCCAACCAAAAGAATGGAGTATTGGTGGGCTTGAACACAGTGTGAAGCAGGCGCTGGCACTTCATCTCCTAAGTGTATATGAAGTGCTGAGTGAGTTCTCTGATCTCGATAAACGAGTCTCATCAGGATATGATCAACTCTTTCGAACTACGCCTTCAGGTTTCTTTATGCCTCCAGCATCCTTTCATCGGCACCAATTTGTCTGAGAGAAATCGCTCATGGACCACGTGCAAAGAAGCCTACCAGCCATAAAAGGAGACACACCGCCGGTATTCAAAGTCTTCGTTCCCTTTCACCAGAAGATGAGCGGCTTTGAAAGAAGCCTTGCTTCAGCAAAGCTCGGTTCTGGCACTAAGAAAGGGCGACTAACGATGTCAAGCTGTGTTCACTCCTGACCACTCACTCACTTCATCAAGCAGGAAGAGACTGCGCTTCAAGACCGCACGTTTAACTACTATTTACTACAAGACTATCGACTAGTCTTCCTGACGTCCCTGTAACAGGGCTACCTTATGACATGCGTAGACTTAGGTAGGTTCGGCCTGGTGGCCGGGAGGTTCAGATGAAGATCTCCTCGTTCTGACACGATCCCGTCTTGCCATCTTATAAAAGGATTCACGCCAGCGGCATCTAGCGACTCTCGGGCAGAGGCAAGGGGCCGGGACAGGAGGATTAGTAGCAGTGAGACTGATGATGGTGCTGAGGTCGAGCTTGCCGTATACTTTCGGGTTGCCTGCCTCACTCAAGCTTACCCCCATCACCCCATTGAAAGAGACAAGAACCAAAGCAAGGCCCTGCTAACGCCCATTATCCAGCGACTCGGACGTGGTCGTCACACATCGTGCAGATGAGGGTGATGAGCTAGCATGACGAGCTAGCGAGTATCATTGTAGTAGGAAAAAGGCCATGAGCTCGCCCATGAAGCATCT